CCCTATAATTTTAAATGATTAATTACTAATTAGGGTATTTAAGTTTTATATGTTATAATTTAATCACTACTTTCATTTATTTTTACAAGTTTTATTACTTTTTAATTTTATTTATTTTAGTCATTGTTTATTTATATTTTAATTTTATATGTTTATATATTTAATTATTATTGTTATTATTATGTAGTCATATAAATATAAATCTAATAAATAATATTTATTTATTTTATTTGTTTTCTATTAAAATCCTATTTATAAATTTAATTTTATAAATTACTTTTAAATTATTTTAATCATGTTTTAGTATTTATTTTTCAATATTATGAAAGGGCAGTCTTAAAGTAAATAGATGTTCATTTTCTAATATTTTTAAATAAATAAATATTTTACTTTTATAAATTATATATATTTTAATTGTTTTTAGATAAATGTTTTATTAATATTTATTTATTTTTTAATATTAAGAAAAGAGCTGTCTTAAAGCACCTAGAAGTCCTTTTCTGATATTTCTAAATAAATAAATATCTTATATATATATATATATATATATATATATATATATATTAATAGATTTTCTTAAAATTATATTAATAAATTTGAAATAACAGGATTATGAAATAAATATATTTTTGAATTTTTAAATTTACAATAATAGAGACAATTTATAATTAATGAGTACCAATTTTGGGCGTTGTGAGGTGTTGATCCTTCCCCAAACGTAATCTACCACGAATCCCTTTTGATTATTAAAAAAACGAATTTTTGGTTAAAACGCAGACCAGTTTACCTTTTAACTGATGTTTTCTTAAAAACTCTTTTAAAAGATAATTTTTTGGTATTCGACCTACCTGACCCAAAAGGCCGATGGCGACTCTCAAAACATTTTTTATCCACATTATTTTTCCCACCAAATAAAAATTTTGTACCCGAGCGAAAACCGGTTACGACAATCACCTACACCCTGGGCCTAGCTAGCAGCAACAACATCAGAATTAGAATGGACTCCTGTACACCTAATCGACCATGAACCCTGTTTGGAGATTTTCATTCACAACCATTGACCTTGTAATCATCTCTACAGTATGGATCCAGAAATATTCTTTTAGGAGACATATGTATTAATACCAAAAATACAAGCACAAATAAAATTTTAAATTAAACAATATCAATAAAATAAAATAAAATTGACAAAAAATTGAAATTTCAGGATGTGACGAATCCAAATGAAATAAGATATACATCCACCATTGCCAACAAAACCCACTATTTCGGGACCAATCCACGTGTATGGTCTACGCAGCGATACTGACAGGACTGAACCATCAAAGTCTTACTCAACTATGCGATTTCAATCTTTTTGTGGCATGCGTCTCTTTGATCAATTATTGAATGTCTTCACATTTTATGATATGATATCAGCACTCGAGAATCCTTGTAGCGGCCAGAAGAGAGTTGAACCACAAATGGTGGTGGGTACTAAATCAGCCTCTCCCAGAAGGCCAAGTTCCCCACCACGACGCTGCTGGCTGCTACAGAAACGCATAGCATTAATAATAGGATGCCCTAAATATAATGCCAAATACCTTTTGCTTGAAGGCATTATATGTTGCGTGCTTGCGTCATTTTTTTGTAGTCAACTTCAAAAAGATGTTATGCAATTAGTTTATAAATAATAAATTTCTGGGTAAGGTAAAAGACTTGCACTTTTTGCCTGTGTTTTCCTTAATATGGTATCTAAATTTGTTTTGGCTGGAAATATTCGGCTTTTTCAATCAAATAATCCATGCGGGATTAAGAATTAGGCTCAACTGTATGGACTATTGAACTTACTTAAATCCACTATAATAATTTTTAATCCCATATGGAGCTTACTTAAATCCACTTGAAGTTGATTTCTTAGGCCTAACTGCACTTAAAAAGGATGGATATTCCAATACTTGGCCGAACAAATAAATATATAAATACAAGTTGGTAAGAAAATGACGAACTTTATCTCAATCCAAAGATACAAACATATTGTCCAATCTACTTTGTGGATAGAATAGATGCTAGCAAAATCAAAATTGCATTTTGCCTGCAACCTGCATATCTAGTTTCTGTATTCTTCTCGTATCCTTCAGCTGCCCATTATTTGGCATTTAGATATATACATACATTGGTTTCAGCCTTATGTCATGACTGTCCTGCATTACAACAGATTTTAAACCTTATACTTTATAAATACCCCTAACAACAACACTTTATCTCATGTGTTAGATATGATATCTTTCTATATTTCGTAATTAGGATATATAATAATAGTAGTTAACTGTTTATAAAAACCAAATCTTTAATCACATTGAAAGATAAAATGAACAACTATTCTATCTATCTTTAATTATATACGTCGACTTTAATGGATTGTTTATTGGGAACTATCTATATAGATGTTCATTCTTCGGTTTGAATTGAATTAATTGATTGAAATGAAATTTAGTTCGGTTAATTGATTGGGTAATTAAATATTAAGTTGATTAACAATTGACCTTGTAAACTTGGTTGATTATTAACTCCATCAGAAATATTTTGTTACTTAAGTATGTGTTGACTGCTCATGTTCATTGGTTTTGAAAATAAAGAAACTACAGATTCGTTACGAGGCAACAGAAAGATGGCCATCAAGGAAGCTGTGCGAATTCGATTGCATGATTCTAAATTGAATAGGAAGGATACTGCAGGTGTAGCTGATTCAATGTGATAACTTGCTGATGCCAGATTAGTTTTGGATCAACAGAATTAAAGCATATCCGATAAATGTAGGACTAAATTGATAAATTTGGAATTCAAATTTTTCTTACACGTGGGAATAAATTCAATCGAGTAATCATGAAATTGGATATGAAAGGAATATTAGGTGATGTGGAACTCTTATTAAACCGTCATCGCTGACACTTGAGCTGTCGAAACACGAAGTTCATGTGGTCGGAGAGGTAGGCATTAGCTGCTGTCACCGCGCACTGCTGCTCTATATTCATCTTAATGGCCCAGCAAAATAATGTTCACCCACTAGATTTTATGTTCCTAATGCAAAGCACAAATGTGTCGTTATTCTTCAACTCAATTTTGTTTCTAATTTTCACCTCATTTTCTCTTTCATTATTAATAAAAAGAGTCAAGACGGCTATACATATAAAATAAATTTTTTTTACAAGCTTTGCAGTCGTATTGCCACGTAAGCAAAGCAGTGCGTACGTTTAAGGGTATGTCTGACATAATTAAAATGATACTGATCTGAGAATTAATACACAAATATGTTAATTTGAGAATTGAGTGATGCCTAGGTAAATAGTAGGCTCATGTTAAAAGGAGGTTTAGTTGGTCCCATCACATTCGTCAAGGCGTTGACACGTGGGATGAGACCTTGGGTTATAGCCTTCGATTTCCTTCAAAAGAAAAGAATAGCAAAGGAACCGCACGTGTGCAGCAGCCTTGCTCAAAACAGAAAAATACATAATTTGTCTCAAATTCAACATTTGACCCAACTTATCCTTAGCACCAGTCATCTTTGACCTATCTTTGTACCACAAGATTTTTTTATACTTTCATTTGTAATGATACAAATTAATGAATTTTATTCCAACAAAATAAATTAATAATCTTTTTATACGTGTAAATGTTTATATAGTTACACACTATTGACTAGTCTAAGTTAATTTTATTAGTTAGATATTTATTAATGCCTTAAAAATATTAAAGTTCAAATTTACCAATAATGTTATTCGGTGAATAATTTATCAGTAAAAGTATCGTCTCATTGAACCAAGAAATAGAGACGATATACAAATTCAAGGACATAATGGAAAATTAAACAACTTTAGGAGGGCTGCAAATGTGCAAACCTGCCTTGATTTTTTCTTGATTAATGCATTTTTAAAACAAATTTTGATCGTGTTTATTATGGGCTATGTAAAACAACAAGAAACAAAGAACAATTCCGACAAAAAAAATAAAATGTCAAAGTCAAAAGCTGCGAACATCACTAATGTTAGAAATGACAGGTCAAACCACTCAAAATTGTGTTGGCTTTCTCCTCTTTGATTAAGGTTTAGACAAAACAAAAGACTCCAGCCGACGTTGTTGCTTGTGATTCGGGACATCAACTTTAGGTGCTAATGCATATACATAATAATTAGGATCAAAGTGGTCAATCCTATCCCCTTAGGCCTTATTGATTCGCACGCCAGACCACAGGCGTCTGGAAGTATTCAATTTTTAGTTAAATACACGCCCAATAACTATCTAAGTTAGTACCTACTGTCAACAAAAATACATATTTACTAACTCAATTTTCTACGAGTTTTTCTTTCGTAAAACAGAAGATTAACACTGCTATTTGTTTACGTGTCAATGAAAAATACGTATTTACCAACTCAATTTTCTACAAGTTTTTTCTTTCGTAAAACAGAATATTAAAACTGCTATTTGTTTACGTGTCAATGAAAAAGTCGTATTCTCTAACTATCCAATAACACTTCTACGCGTAGCATGATAAGCCACGTGGCCCATTACAATATAGAATTTTGAAAATGAAATTAACGTGAACTTTCAGGATTCTGCTCCCGATTCTATCTAAAACTGCACGAGGTGGGCAGCCGGAATTTATTATATTAAAACATAAATTGGAATGGATCGTGGCGGACCTTTTCTTTTTTTAAAAAATAATAATAATGTAATTTAATTAATTTTCATGTATTTTATTTTTATTAATTTTTTTATAATTTATAATTTTATATTTTTATTTTTTAATGATAAAAAAATATTATTCTTATCAAAATTTTCATATTTAAACAAATGTATTTATAAAATATATTTACGTTATTAATAATTAAAAAAAATATTTTAAACAGATACTTATTATAATTTATTAATGGGAGATACGAGAACTGGGCCCCTTACACCACTCAACCGAGTGAATGAACATGCATCCTTCCCCTTCTATAAAGCCACCCCAAGGTCACCCCATTTCCCTCCCATATGCCTCCTTGCACCATATCCTCTTTCTCTATCTTCCTTTGAATCTCCTCCACATAAACTAAGCACACCATCACTTCGATGGGCAACTCTGATTATGTCTACACCGATCGTCAACCTCCTCATCGAGTGGCGGTTCCTCCGCCGCAACCGTTTTTCAAGACATTCAAGAATTCTCTCAAGGAGACGTTCTTCCCAGATGACCCGCTCAGGCAATTCAAGAACAAATCACCTTCACGGAAGCTCTTACTCGGCCTGCAATATTTCTTCCCGATTCTCGAATGGGGTCCTCGTTACAGCTTCGGCTTCTTGAAATCTGACCTCATCTCGGGGATCACCATCGCCAGTCTTGCTATCCCTCAGGGCATTAGCTATGCCAAGCTTGCTAACTTGCCACCCATTCTCGGCCTTTGTAAGTTCCAAAAAATGTTATTAGATTATAACGTTGTTGTTTAAAATGTACTGATCAACTTTTTGTGTTGTTGGGAAATAAAGATTCAAGCTTTATTCCACCACTGATTTATGCGATGATGGGAAGTTCAAGAGATTTGGCAGTAGGGACAGTTGCAGTTGCATCACTGCTCGTGGCTTCTATGTTGGGGGATGAAGTGAATGCTGCTGAGAATCCCACGCTTTATCTTCACCTTGCTTTCACCGCAACTTTTTTCGCCGGTCTTCTTCAAGCTTCGTTAGGCCTCTTAAGGTACATAATTTGATCACCCGTATATATACACGATTCTCTTCTTCTTTCACTCTCCAGGTTCTGCAAAGTCTAAGTATAGGGTAAATTCTGAATGGCTGTGTTTAAAAAAAAACCTTCATGAAACTAACATTAGTATACCAGTAAGAGTTTAGAAAGAAATAAAATTTCACCATATATAACAGCGAGAATCTACACAGAATACGATCGAACCATTGCTTTCCCAATGGCCATTGTCATTTATTGTTGTCGGATAGAAGACCCTACGTGATAATTTTAATTTAACAATATAAATAAGCAAAAAGAAAAAAGAGGAAAGAAAAAAAACCCTTTTTCATATAATGTCTATATGAAGTAATTTTTGACACAGTAAAATAAGTAAAACGAGCAGATATTCTTGAAGCAAAAAAATGAAAATTGAGTTGAATTATTGGTGCAGGTTAGGGTTCATAGTGGATTTTCTTTCGCATGCGACAATAGTAGGGTTCATGGCAGGAGCAGCGACCGTAGTGATATTGCAACAGCTAAAGGGAGTCTTTGGACTGGAGCACTTCACTCAATCTACCGATATTATCTCCGTCTTGCGTTCCGTCTTCTCCCAAATTCACGAGGTCAATCCTACTTTTGAAACTGAATATAAAAAAATGCATCTCTTTCTGTAATTCATTTATGTATATATATAGGAATATTTTTTTTTAAAATACTTTCTTCACTCACAATAAATCAAATATGTTTTATTTGACAGTGGAGATGGGAGAGTGCTGTGCTGGGCATTGGATTCCTCTTCTTCCTCCTCAGCACCAGATACGTCGTAAGTGAATCTTTTTATTATTATTAGAAGGATATGGGGGAGTCCAACTTTGAACTAAACAGAAACCAAAAACAAATGAAGTATAAAAGAAAAGTCGTATCATTTAACAAATAATTAAAGCAGCTGGTAGTTCAATAGAAGAAGTTAATTAGAAATATGGGTCTGATGGCGTCAAGGTTTGCTTTTACTCTGGAGATTAAGAAACGTATATTCTTTTTATATTTTTATGAGAAATACTATACTATAATATAATATATAACATGGTTTGGACTGTTGAATGGCAAACAGAGCAAACGGCGACCCAAGCTATTTTGGATATCAGCAATGGCACCTTTGACATCAGTCATTCTCGGTAGTCTTCTCGTTTATCTCACACATGCCGAGAAACACGGCGTTCAAGTGGTAAACTAAAACCCCCCTCTCTCTTTCTCTCCTTTATTTTTTACTATATAACAACAAAACGTGTCCCAATATTTATTTAAATAATTATTTAAACTTTTATTTTTATTAAAATTATTCATTTTAAATGAAAATTATTAATTGACTAATAATTTATATATATATATATATATATATATATATTACTGACGTGATATTTTTACCTGTACTAAATTGATGATATAATATATGTCATGTCATTTAAAATAATAATATGATATATGTCAGGTTATATGTGATATATGTCACATTACTAATTTAATATACATAAAACTATAAAATCAATAATATGAATTGACCATTAATTAATAGTTTTCATCTAACATAGATGATTTTAATAAAACAATTAAACATTCAAAACTAAAATGTTTAGAAAAAATAAGGACTAAAATAATCATTTAAATAAACATCAAAAATTAATTTGATCGTTATATATATTTGTTTTTAAGATAACCTCTTCTCTTATATTTTAAAATTATAAAAACGACGTAGCTTTAGCGTACGTAAAGGTTTTCCAATAATAAAAAGATTTACCACAATGAAGTGGAACAAAAGAGTCCAACAGAAACATATTGAAGAACAAGAAAAGTGGTATTATAAATGCCTTTAAAATAAGTTGTGTTGGGCCAATCCTAATAGTTGCTTAGGCTGAGCTCCCAGTCCCTCCAACCTCACTGATTGGACTATTATTTTTCACATTTATTGTTTTAAAAGAAACTACAAAGTGTAATTAACTATAAAATCAATATATTTCTTGTCATACTACTTCGTGAAAGCATCAAGAGCTTGACTTTCTTGCAACCTTGTTGATGTAACAATGGCAGATAGGAAACTTGAAGAAAGGGCTGAATCCACCGTCGTTTGGGGATTTGGTTTTTACCTCTTCGTATCTGTCAACAGCTGTGAAGACCGGCATCGTCGCCGGCATCATCGCTCTCGCCGTAAGCTACCTCTCTCGATTCTAACTTCGAATTCCATCGATTTTCATTAGTTTAAGGACAAGACATAGACTGATTGTGTTTGTTGCTTGCTGCGAAATACCAGGAAGGAATAGCAGTGGGAAGAAGTTTCGCAATGTACAAACACTACCACATCGATGGGAACAAAGAAATGGTAGCTATTGGGACCATGAACATCGTTGGTTCTTGCTTTTCCTGCTATCTCACAACAGGTGAATCTTGCTATCCTAACTGAAAGGGTTTCTTTTATGTATGTATAATTTGCTAATCGTGGTATTGGCATTGATACATTTTCAGGGCCATTTTCTCGGTCGGCTGTCAACTTCAATGCAGGGTGTAAAACGGCAATGTCGAACGTTGTCATGGCCATTGCAGTTATGTTCACATTGCTCTTCCTAACACCACTGTTCCATTACACTCCCCTGGTAGTGTTGTCCGCTATTATCATGGCTGCAATGCTTGGTCTCATCGATTACGAGGCTGCAATTCATCTTTGGAAGGTCGATAAATTCGATTTCGTGGTGTGTATAGGCGCATTCCTTGGTGTCGTTTTTGCAAGCGTGGAGATTGGCTTAGTCATAGCGGTACGATAATACATATATCAGCAAAAACACAACAGAACATGAACTTAGTTCCTTCATCTAATAATTGATTCTGCAATAAAATGCAGGTTGCAATATCTGTGCTGAGATTGCTTCTGTTTATCGCAAGACCGAGGACCTTTCTTCTCGGAAACATTCCGAATTCCACCATTTACAGAAATGTTGAGCAATATCCTACTACAAACAGTGTTCCTGGGATTCTTATACTCGAGATTGATGCTCCAATTTACTTTGCTAACGCAAGCTACTTAAGAGAAAGGTATTTGAGAATTTGATTGCTTAAATATTATCAAACATCATAATTTGATCAAAATGGATTATTGATCTTATCAGGATCTCAAGGTGGATTGATGAAGAGGAAGACAGGCTGAAATCTTCAGGGGAAACAAACTTACAATATGTCATACTTTACATGAGTGGTGAGTGATTTATCAATCCGGCTCGAACTGCATGCAGCCATATTATCTGCAACATTAATGAACAGAAAAGCTATAAAGATTCTCACAGGGGTTACATTTTATGGTTTCACAGCTGTTGGTAACATTGATACCAGTGGAATAAGCATGCTTGAAGAGGTGAAGAAAACTACAGACAGAAGGGGGATCAAGCTTGTAATGGCTAACCCTGGAGCGGAGGTGATGAAGAAACTGAACAAATCAAAGTTCATAGAAACGATAGGTGAAGAATGGGTATATTTAACAGTAGGAGAAGCTGTTGAAGCCTGCCATTACAAGCTTCATACATGCAAACCAGACTCCACCAATGAGGAATTGCAGACGTGGAACAATGTGTAAAGCTTAATAGATTTTTTGATGTACCAGGAAGAACATGATTTTTCTTTCTTTTTCTTATAATTTAAAGGCCTTGTGCATCCGGGAATCAGGATGCATGGTTTAATTAAGCTTTAGATGCATCAATTGGAAGTTGGAGGTCTACTTTCCCTCTTCCAAAAATAAGCAAGTTGTAGAGTGATACATATCATGGCAATGAAAGTTCAAAACAAAAAGAGTTAATGAATGCTGTTGACAACCGCATGGAGAAATTTTAGTATTTAGTTTTTCTGAATAAGTTCTCAACTCAACCCCGTTGTAAACTCAGAAAAAACTTGAATTTAAACTTGAACAAGTCAAGTTATCAGTCGAGCTGAATTCGAATTGGAATAGACGGAGTAGAAATGACAAATTTTCACTAACTTAACGAGTTCCGATTAGGACAAATTTTCTTCTTCAGAAAAGTCGAGTTTAGAAGGAATTTAGTGTAAACAAAATTCAAGTTCAAGTCGAATCTAGAATAAAAACTCTTGGATCCACCTTAATTTGAGATATTTACTAAAATGTGGGATTTGGGTAGGATTGGGGAGGAAAATGGGCTAACACCACTCCAGAATGAAATACGTAAACAGCTCTAAAATCAATGCACAAAACAAAAGATTAACATATACCTTGAAGAAAATAATTTCCATTGAAATCAATATTTACGCCAAATCGACAAACATATAGAGAAGGGATCTTTTAGGGTATATCATGAGCCTGTAATATACAGTAGGAAATCTCTTAAAGTAAAAGAACAAAGCCTGTATAAGAAACTAAATACATGCAAAACACAAAAAAGTAAGGCATATTTATGGACAATGCAACTAAAGTCGCATTTCTGGTAAACTACTGAAAATGTATTGCGCCGATGAGGAATAGGTAATTGCCTCAATTTTCATTAGTTAGGGGTCGCACGCATGAGCAGAAGTGCGGTTTCTTCTTCTTCAGGTTGGTTTTCACCCCACCATAAAGATAGTTCCGCAAAAAACTCTTCTTTTATACTCGGAGATTTTGGTTTACAAACGCTTATAGAAGAAACTTAATCGTGCGAATTTAACAAACCCACAGAAAAACATGCAAGGAAACATTTAAGTTCAAGTGATGAAAACTAAGGAAGTTAACCAGAAAAAAATATGTAGCACATTTTGAGTATATGTATGCTTAAATGTTTAACGTAATTGTATACATCTAGAACTGCTAAACTTAAAGAGTTTGCCGCGATCAGAGAAGATGATCATAAAGCACAAAAAGCTCATAAGCTTTATGGAGCAACCAATTTCTCCTCTTAGAGAAGGATACTTGTCTGTCTATCCTCCACTCTTTTTCCCATATTTATTTTTTGTTCTATGTTTCTGGGTTTTCAATTTTCTTCTCTTAGAACAATGGAGTTGGTGTTTTGGTCTTTTACAATAAAATGGAAACCCCTATAGTATTTCTTCCTTGAATTCTCTGTCCCTTTTTGTTTCATAACATTTTTTTTTCTAGTTTTCTCGATTTCTTTTCTGCGCCTGACGTCGTCGGCAATGCCATTTCCATTACTTTTAAGGTACTCTATGTTGTATTCACGTATTTCTTTTGATTCCTCTCCAGTTTCACATATGGAGTCTGTTTTGTTTTGCATCTCTCTCTCTCTTAACCACACTTAAAAGCAGATACCAAACTCGTGGTATAAATATACCTGCTTAGTATCCAAATCAATGTCTTTGATAGGTTTCTTACTTCTTGTTGAACTAATTCGGCAAAGCGAATACAACTCAACCGACATCTTTGCCGGGAAGAATCATGAACCACTCATGAAAACAACACCATGTCCGCTAGATTTCATGAACTTTTTGAACAAAAGAACCGAGGTTGTAATGATAAGTCCAATAGCGGCCCATGTAACAAGAGATCATCAGTAGATCTTTGAACCCTCATCTCCAGCTATCTTCGCGGCTACTAATGATTGGGTTCCCTGGCAGGAATCTCTCACACTCTGTCCTCATCCTCATTTCAGCGTTGTCTAGCATTGGTTGGAGTCAGATACTCTTCCTCAACGACATTGTCATGTTCTGTTGGATCCAGTGGTTTATTCTCAGCAACCATTAACGGAATCCCATTGATTAGCTTGAGGTTCTCCATCATTGATGGTAGGGTGTTCTTCCAAGGCCTGTGAAAGGCTGAGACAGCTGAGTTGAGGATAAAGAGTTGCCTTGCTTAAGATATATTCATGAATTACTGTCACCAAAGACTTTTCTAACAGAGAACCAAAAAGGAAGAGAAGAAGAATAAGACCACACGTGGGTCTTTATTTATTTTTTTAATTTTAAATTGTTAACTTAGAATTTTGTTAATGAGTTAACGAAAATTAATGGTTAATTGATTTAAATCGAATAAACTGATAATATAAAAGATAAAACGTATTTAATTAAAAATAAGTAATCAAAGTTGATTATAGGGGCTTAGGAGGAACCTACTCAGCCAAAAGTTTGTTTTTTAAACTTTAATTTATATATATAATTTAAATATTTATGGAATAATTATGAAATTTCCCTCCAAATTTTAAAAAAAATTATAGTTTGCCTCCTCAAATTAAAATCCTAACTACGTCCCGTTCCAGATTAGTTAGACTTAAAATAAAAGGACTATTGGCATAGTTTAACCAACAAAAATTAAGATAAAAAGGTTGGTCGGTATTGTAAAACCAGTGTGAAATCGTACATTCCAGAATATTAAGCTCTTTACGCCCTTTTTTTTCAAATTGTTAGGGATCTTTTTGTTACGATTTTGAACCCTGATCTGCATGGTGAGCATCATTCTATCCATATCCGTGTCTTCTTTTCTGTAACTACTATCTTTCGTCGGTTGGTCTCTCGTCATATATGCCCGGAGACTGACAATATTTGATTTTTTTTTTCCATTTTCAAGCTTAAACTTTTGAGCATTACGTAACGCATTTGATGGTTCTGTTTGCTGCAATTTTCCCAATTTAATTTTGAGCCCTCTTTTACTTGATAGGATTCAAGATCGGAGCGGACCTCCGCAGTGGTGGTCACAGATGATGCAAGTTATGCCCATAATACGCTGGATGCAATTTGGAGTTATGAGAACGAAGACCCCAAACGCTTCGACCCTCTAATCATCGTTCAATCTTCTTCTTTAGGTACTTCTATTTTACCCCTTTTAATTTTCTAGTTTATTTTTTTTAAATGATGTCTCTTTTAAACTAAAATACACTTCAATTATATATGCACTCACGTCTTTTAGTTAGAGAACCTCGAGGGTACGGTATCAAAGATGATTAGATGAATATACTCTTAATAGAATATGCTTTAATTGGTTATCGTTTTCCCTATATTAAAAAGGAAGAAAGTTAGGATTTGATATTTGATGCATGGAAAACATCTTAATTTAACTTCAAGCAAAATTAATTAGTAAAAAGCAACAATTGTATTTCATTCCTCTTTACTGTAGTTTCAACATTCTCATGCCATGCTATTTTTCTTCAATTATATAACCTTTTGGTGTTCTATTTGGTGGCTTTATTTCTGATAACTTAATTACTTATGTTTTTGTCTCTGGGTTATATCAGCTCGTCTACCCTTAGAATTATCCTATGCAGACCTGGTCATTTTTATCTCTAGATCAATTGAAGTTCCTGTTGATGAGTTGTATTCCGAAGTCTTTAGAGTTTTGACACCTGGTGGAAAGCTGGTAGTTTGTCGGGGTTTTCAGTCCGAGACAAAAGGAGTAGAGATGGTAACAGTTTTCTGGTTTTGTGACTTTGATGGAGTTGTAGTCAACGCAACTTACTAGTATTTCTTGCAGGTATTGTCTGCTGTTGAGCGCAAATTATTATTGACCGGATTTTTGGATGTGGAACATTTTCAACTTGCTCAGGCTGTTGGGGTGAGTGCATATTTGTTTCACCCTTTAAGGTTTAATCCTTCTGTTTGGTACATGTAGCATGTATTTCCGTGGTTTTTGAACTAGGTTTCTGATATATATATATCCTCCTGCTCTGATGTTAGTTTATTTATAGATTTTTCAATTCTAATTTAGTCATTGTGTTTATTTTGCTTTCCCAATTGTATTTGTAATGGAGGAATGCTGCTTCAGCTCTTGTATTGCTCTTTTATTATTGAAATGAGGCTTGCTATTTAACTGAGTCATTCATTTCAAATTCAGCGTTATGTTGCCTATTGGGTGTTTTAGATTAAGGCTAACTATTGAGAACATTGCCTCATTTAGATCAAGGCTAAGAAGCCATCTTGGAAGATTGGATCTTCTTTTGCTATTAAAAAGACCGTGAAAAATCCGTTGAAAATTCAGATGGATGATGACTCAGATCTAATTGATGAAGATTCCCTCTTAACTGAAGAGGACTTGAAGAAACCCCAATTACCTACTGGTAAGATGGCAAGACTCAACAAGACCAATAATTTTTGGTTTTTTAATTCTTTAGGTGGAAAATTAGGACTATCATATTACATTACTTAAAAGTACTATTTCTTTAGTTGGTGACTGTGAAGTGGGAAGCACAAGGAAAGCTTGCAAGAATTGTACTTGTGGAAGGGCAGAACAAGAGGAGAAAGTGCAGAAGCTAGATCTGACGGCAGATCAGTTAAACAATCCTCAATCAGCTTGTGGAAATGTACATCTTCTTCTATAGTCCTCTCTCATATTTGGTTTCATTGATTTAAATTGAATTTACTGTCGTGATAAATTTATGATGATTACTTTGCAGTCATCGACCGAGACTGTATAATTGATGCTTTTGCAGTTTTGCTTATTTGGTTTTAAAATTTTGCTTTCGATCAATTTTAATGGGAAAAAATAAAAAGCAAAGCGTCGAAAACAAATCACAGTTCATACTTTTGTTTTTCGTTATGCTCTGAAACTTTGGAGTGTAGACTAATACTTCCTTTTCTCCTTATGCTTTGAAATAACAGTGTGGACTAGGTGATGCATTCCGCTGCAGTACATGCCCATATAAGGGTCTTCCACCATTCAAGCTGGGTGAGAAGGTAGGGTTTCTCGTAGACTCTTACTCACACTTGTATGCACACTATAACAATTTTCCTTTAATGAAATGTTGGCACACCAAATGGTTACATTTTAGAACAAGTATGACTTGGAATGATTTCTCCATCCAGGTATCTCTGTCGGGGAACTTTCTTGCAGCTGACATTTGAACTCGAACTAATGGTTTTGGCCCGAATCTTAGCTTCTGGTACTTGATTACATTAGATACTGGTTTTGTTTGGTGGTTTAGCGTAAAAGGTAAAAATTCGACTTCTATTTTATAGAAACATTTGATACTTGAAGATCTTGTTTTAGTGTGGAAGTGGATATTTGATTTTATGGATGCATTCTAAATACTAAACGCAAATCATCATCAGACTGTTCCATAATAGGTCACACTTCTTGCTCACCTGGTGTTATAAATTTTATTTTACTTATTTTAGATGAATATTATAATATTTGTACATATAGTTTCACTTACTCATTTAATGATATTTGTAGATATATATATATATATATATATATATATATATATGTATATGGGAGACTAAAAATAATCGAATTTGAAAGAAGGGTCAAATTGTCTTGGATGAATTATGATTTTGGCCAAGGTTTTGAAATTTCTGAGATCAAGTTTGAATCTCATTACAAATTAGTTCAAATTTCATCATAACAGTTTCATTCGGCGAACAGATGCGTATTCGATCACAATGAAAATGTTAAACCTTGGGCTTTGATATACAGTCCAAAATTTTCACTTGTTAGATCAAGACCTTGGCAACAAAACTGTTGATGGTATCCAATTATATGCTTGATGCCAACCACATGATCGAAAGACGTTTAAAGATCAGGCATGCCCTTCCCGGTCTTAGGATCGTATGTCCTCTCCAACACAAGATCCATTGTAGTATCCTTGGGACCAGCTGCAAAACATGATCACCAAAATGAGCATGCAAAACGTGGGTGATGCCAAAATGTTTCATATAACAAATTTATGACTCTTCATTCTCGAAAGATAACCCTATCGGTACATAAAATCCATAAGACGAATTTGAACTGAAAGCTACATTGTCCCATGCTTACGAACGAAAGTACTTTGTTAATTATCGCAAAAAAGAGCACATGCACATTGTACAGATAGCAAAAACCAGACTTTACGTCACAAAGGAACTCACACGCAATAATAGTTACGGCAGGGTAATAATTTTTTTTTATAAAAAATGACACTAAATTTCTTCATTCCAATCCATACATGCACATACTACCTTTGGCAATCTAGAATGTCATTTGCACCTGGTAATTTCCATACCATAACAAAGTAAACATCTGACAAGTAGTAGCCAACAGAAGAAAAACAGAGAATACTATTTTCAACACTATCCATCTTCTATTTAGATACGTTAGTATGTTCTCACATACATTAGCAAGAAACTATACACCTAAAAGGGAGTAAACTCAAATCCCAGAAAACTACCTCCAAGTGATTCAAAAAACTCCCCTAAACCTATTCAAAAAAAAAAAAAATACTCCCCGTAAACCATCATATTCTGGGAAAACTTTACAACACCGTTTATACAAAATGGCAATAAGTAAACGGTTATAACAGTAACGAGTATTATGAATGGCAAGTCTGGCTCTCCTGAGTAAATAATCTAATTGCAAAAGATACAAGATAACCAAGTATGCATGTATAGAAATGTTCTAAAAGCTCACTGCCTACACTCTAAGGTTTTCAAGTCTCTATTCATTGCAATTCACAATTTATTGAGTCTCTAACTTCTATCTACGTTCTGTCCTTTCAAGAATTACATTTTACTTGAGTTTTTATCACTTTTCAAAGTCTAAACTTGCAAAGGTAGCTATCTAAGTTAACCCTATAGTGTGCCGGTAGGCCAACGTGCATCCATGATCTTACCCGTGCCATGTTCGCTTGTTGCGTTTTGAAGGGAAATATCATCGTGGCTGGAGGTTTCACCAGCTGCAGAAAACCTATATCTCAAGCAGAAATGTATGATCCTGAGAAGGATGTCTGGATTCCAATACCCGATCTCCACCACACACAATTTTCAGCATGTTCAGGATTAGTTATTGGAGGAAAGGTGCATATCTTTCACAAGGGGTTATCTAAAGTGCAAGTCCTGGACAACGTGGGGTCTGGGTGGACCAGAGTCCAATGGCAGTTGTACAGAGAGCCCTATACGTGATGAGCCATGGACTTATTTTCAAGCAGCTTAAGTGAGAAAGGTTGTGAGTTTTTCTTCGAGTTTCGTAGGAGAATCAGATTTGTGATGACATGGCTAAAAGGTGAAATTTACATTATCGGAGGGGTAATCGGCCCTGGTCGGTTTAATTGGGAAATCCGACTGATGTCTGATGTTGATATATTGACAGTTGGGGGTGATACACCTACATGGCGTCAGGCAGCTCCGATGACAAAGTGCCGAGGAACAATTTTTGGTTGTACTTGTACAAAACTAAGAATTTAGATCTTAACTCTTTTATCTATTTATTTTTTAATAGATTTGTTGGTTTCATTTTGGGAAGTCTACCGATGTTGAGGCATGGAATTCCTTGTATCTGAGATGAGAGATATGATGTGAATCGGGAAATATGGGAAGTGATGGGATAAAGCAACATTTATATTTTCGTTAAAGAAAAAAAAGTGAGGTTTAAAGGTCAAGATTAGTGAAAAATAGAATATGAGTTAATTTAATAAGAATTCTAAATGTTGAAGGTTAGATTTACTATAATGCTAAATAAGAAATAGCTCAACGCTCCGAGTTTTTTTTTTTTTTGAATTTATTTGAAATTTTTTAATGTAAAACTTATTTATTAATAAGAATGTTAATTAAAATATCATTTTTAATTTAGTCATATAGATTGCATTTGATTTGTAATAGTCAAGTTGTCATTATATATATATATATATATATATTAGTGTGAATGATAATTTATTATTCACTATCGATAATGTTGTTTATTTATATTTTTATTTTTTTAGTTTTGTGTTTGATTCTTTTTACTGTTCTATGTACACTCATATTTTTATTATTTAGTAACTAGTTTATATTTCTGTCGTGGATTTAGAAGAAATAATTAGCTGATATGATTAATCTACTTTATTTAAAAAATATTTTAAATGTTGTGATTTTATTATAATTTTATTTATTTCATAAACACAATTACTTAATTTAGAATTCAAATATAGAGAATATAAAAATGGGTGTCAAAATCAAATAAACAATTTCATTCTTTTGGCAATAACCTAATATTATGGATTTTAATTTCTTCTCTTACTTTCCTTCATTTGTCAAAAAGATTATAGTTGCGAGGAATAACTATGGTCCATAATTTATCCTGCCAAGATCTGTAAACAGTCGGAAATATTCTTGGATGTGGCGTGACATTATTAACCCGGCAGTTTTGTATGAGGATGGGTTATTATCTGAGGTACGATGCATTATGGGAAATGGGTCAAGAATTGATTTTTGGACAGATTATTGGACTGAAGTTCGTTCTTTAAAATAATCATTTCCTCGAATTTATGGAATTGCGATTAAAAAATCTGGTACTGTTGATGAGTTTGGGAATTGGGTTCGTGGTGCCTAGGAGTGGAAAATTCAGCTGAGAAGAGGATTATTCGTCTGGGAATTGGCTGTATGGAGTGAGTTCAGTTTAGTTCTGGAAAGTGCTACTTCTTCAGGACCATAATCGGACAGCTTAAAGGGGACAGGTTCGGCTTCGGCTGACGGTAAATATAATACGAAGGATTATTGCACTAAATTGGATTCAGTTGGTAAATAGGCTAATCCAACTTGGAATCTGGTTTGGTCTAAGTATGTTTCGTTTAAAATTTCCGCCTTTGTGTGGAAAGCGAGGTATTTTTTGTAATGGTCATCATCTCTGCATTTTCTGCAATTGCGTTATAGAAGATCAAAACCATGTGTTGCTCCATTGTGGTGTTTCTTGGCAAGTCTGGCAACGATGGTATAAGGTGTGGGAAGTCAATATTGTTTTTGCCATGAACGTTAATGAGCTATTACAAATCTGGTTCTCACATAAAATTAGAATTAAAGTTCGGGTTTTATGGCATATTGGTTTCTTTGGCTTGATTTGGAATATTTGGCTGAGTAGAAACAAATCTCGGTTCGAGGGCAAAGTATTCACAGTAGAGCAGATTTTTGATAACGTTCAGTTGCAGATAGGAGTTTGGATGCATTCCTTGTGGCCATTAAAGGTTCCGTGTGTGTTGGATTTTGTTCGTAGTCCAAGGTCTTTTATATTTGAATTCTGCCATGGTTGAATTCTTCTCTTTGTATTAGATTATCAGGATTATAGGTGACAAGATGTTTTTGCTGTTTGCTATGTTTTGTGCGTCACTGCTGTTGTATTGCTTATTAGAAATCTGTTCTTTGGTTTAGCTAGCAATGGTAGAGAATTGTAAATTAGGTTGGTTTTTCAGATCGATAAGAATGAATTTTGTTGGTCTGAATGGGTTATATTTCGATTGATGTACTCGTAGTTTGTGGTTTGTGTAATTAACCACCTCATGACACACTCTTTTTTCTCCAAATAAGTTTAGGGAGGTTTTTTAATGAGGTCCTTGGGGTGGTGTACTTTGTATACTTATTAATACAAAGTGCCCCTCTTACAAAAAAAAAAAACCTTTCAACTCTTGGCATTTCATTCTCGGATAAGAATGCATGTCAAATATGAATGAAAGAAAATTAAGTAGAAAACATGTATAATTGGTTTCAATATTAAAGATCGAGCATGCATTTAAAATCTTTTAAATTAATTATTCGTTCATTTTGAGAATTCTTATAAAATTAAATGAATATATTAAACATGGTATATTAAATGATTGGATGAACACGCACAAAAAGAAAAGAAAAAAATCTCCCCATTGCTGAACCTGGAATGATTTGGTCTAAAACTGGGATTTAGCCTGATTCACATTTAAGAAGAATAAATGTAGATTTTTGAATTGTTTCTCCAAAGGATCACTTCTTCCTTTAATAAGTTCTGAGGGGAATGGATCATCTGACTGTGAAAAAGATGGCTCTATTGTTACCCTCCTTCTTCTTGCGTATCGCCAGGTGGCACCGGCGACAGCTGGAATCATGCCGTCTACGTCTGAACTGAAAGGGACGAGCCACTGCCTGACGAGTTGATAAGGTTAGTGATATATGTTCGAAGAAAATTAGGTTTTCCTGATGACGCCAAGCTTACTATGAGAGAGATTTCGTATATGAAAATGTCCAACCCTATAATATATATATTTTCAGTATGGAGAAATTTTTGAAAAAGTACTGTTGCATTAGTATCTTGAAAACACGTAACTTGGACCGTAGGTGAGATGATCGTATGAATTGCGGCTTCAGCTGGCTAATTAATCTTAATTACCATCTTGGGTTAATAGAGTTGATTTTAATGTCGTAGGATATATTTAAGGTGATATTTTTTTGTTTTAAACTATCGAATTAATTTAGATACATAATTTGTATTTGTAGTAATGTTTTCAAGATGGTTTGCTCTTATGGATGTATTCATATATATTCGTATTTATCTTGATATATTAAATTTTAGTGTCAATTGTTACAAAAAAAATATCTTAATTTTATGCTTAGTTATCATCGATTATCCTTTTAACCACCACTTATACTTGACGGGGGCTATATTTACGTAAAATCTTTCCTACAATAGTGCATGAAGTCTACATTAATGCTAGATACCTAACGCACTATAATAACCCATGTCTTGTCCCATAACAGCTGTGTTATTTAACATTTATTTAATATAAATTAAACAGTAATGACACTTTCTTTCCTTTCGGTCTTACCAAAAGTAGTCCTAATCATATAATTACACTTCATCAAGGTAATAATTAAACATGATACTGACTTTCTTTTATCATTTTTAAAAATTATCTTATACAAGCATAAATTAAACGATTTTATTGTTTAATGAAAAAAATATTATTTTTAAAAAATTTAGATTCTAATGTCTATGGTTATAAAATATTTTAATATTTATTATTAAATAATTAAAGATCTTTAAAATAAATACTATCATTTATAATTATCTTAAATTTATAAAATAATCATCTTATAGTATATATTTTCAAGCTTTTCATAGACTATTTCTTTGGGAGTGCGTTCACTGTCTAAATATTAATTATTTAATTAATATGTTTATTCAAAATTTTGATATATAATAGCTAATAATGCCAAAGAAATTTTAATGCAGCTGAAAACTATATTATTATTTATTTTTAATATTTAATTTTTTATCAGATTGATGTTATAGAAAAATAAATTAGATATTTATATAAATAGTATTTCATATTGTACCATTCATGCACATATACAATTCTAAATAAAATAAACAATTTTGTACGTAATTGATTGCTTTGATCTATCCTTGATGATATGTTATGGTGAAAGGGATAGTTTGGACCCATGCATACATAACCATCTGCTCATCATTCCTTCCCTATTAATAACAACCCACAAATAATTGGCCCACGGTTTGAATCGGCTTTATTAAAAGAAAAACTCTCATTTATTATTTTATTGAAAAAATAACCCCAACCAATATTAATTGAAAAATATTCTTCAAATTATACACAAAAATACCTTACATTATACAAAACGCGTTTAAATACTTCACGGTCTACGAAAAGCAAATTTTATATATTTATTGTATTATTTATCCAAAAATAAATGAAATCATCTGAAAAGTTGATGAACTTCGTGTTTTGTAAAAATAAATTTATTTATTTATATAAGATAAAACTAAATGTTAAAATAAGGATTTGATTTTTTTATTGAAAGCTTAAGGACCAAATTATAAAGTGAGTAAAAGTAAATGTTGCATGAATAGTAACCTGAATGGCATTGGTAACGTGTTTTGATGGAAATTTGAAGTACATGTGTCATGTATGGATAAATAATGTTTAATATTTTAAAATTGATAAATTCCTTAATAATAGAAAGGTTAGTAAACATTGAGAAAACACCAAAAATCCCATTAATTTCTTCCAAACCAATTAGGAAAGAGAAATTATTCTTCTGTTCATCGTTTTCCACATTTTTTTCTCTAAATTTGTCTAACCGAGAGAAATTATTTCTTCTTTTAAATTATGATACATGGTAGTAATAATAATAAAAATATTAAAAATAATGATTATTATTATGATAATAATAATAATAATAATAATAACAACATAGCAAAAAAATTCTACTATTAATACTTCTAATAATAAATACAAAACAATAATAGATGTAACATGTTGAATGATATATAGTTATATATCATTTTATTTAATTTTAAAATATATTTATATATTTTCTATTAGTAAAACGTTTATATATTTTTTTCACATATACTCTACATATATTTATATATCCTTTTTTTGTTTTTGATATCATTATTCATCTTTTATAGTTGTTTATTTAAATAATAAAATTATACAAATCCATTCAAAAAATGAAATTATAATAACATAATATATTTAACAAAACATAATATTTTAATAAAAAAATTTAAAAAATAAATCTTAAAACGAAAAATTAGAAATAAGAAGTTACTATCAAAGGGGCAGCACTTCCACTAATGGACCGGACCAATCAGACAAAAGAAAAGCATTAATAATTGGTGGGCCCAACTTATTTTGTTTTGATGTTTTTGTTTATCTAAATTTTTACCCACCTTTAATATATAATAAAAAAAAAAGATGTTATCGATTTTTTTTATTATTTAAATAATAAAATCGATAAAAAATTATTTAAAATATTATTATTTTTATTTAAAAATCAATATTTTTAATATTTTCGGTAAAATGGTCAATAATAATAAAATCGATAGAAAAATAACAAAATCAATAAAACGTATAATAATAAAAAATCGATATAAATAACAATATTTTTAATAATTTTTTATTGATTTTATTATTTAAATAATAACAAAATTAATAACATTTTTTTAAGTGTATATTAAATTGTCTTACGTAATCATTTCTCCCAAAACTGAGGCCTATCTTCTCTGTGATTTGTTTCCTTCTATTTTATGGTTATCATTACAATTGACATTTGTCATTTCAAGTGTACCCTCTACCCCATAGGTTACGTCCATTCAATTTAAACGCCATATTATATACTAGTAATTCATTTTATACGTAAAAATAATTATAAGAAAATATTTTTAATACATCTTTAATGTATTATTAATGTTACTCAAACTTGAATTATTTTTTTAGGAAAATATAACTTCTTTCATCACTGAATTTACTCGATAGAATGATTAGTGTTTGAAACTTATAATAATATATACAATCTTATTATAAGTTTTAACATGTAACATCGCCATAACAGATAGTCAACCCATGACTCCCGATTCATTAAACTAATTTCATTGCAAACAACCCTAAGAAAACCCTAGGAACAGTTCAAGGCTTCCCAAATACTCTACCAATAATAATAACGAGCAAAATGACCAACAAATGATTACACATGTTAAAATTCCTTTTTTCTTGATGGCGCTCTTTACTCAAATTAGAAAATGATGAACTGTTTATTTTAAATTAATGGCCACCATGTACATCAGACGAACTACCAGTTCATCTTTCGCGTATCAAACTTGTTTCATTTTCGTCCATGGAAATGAGTAAATGACTTGTTTCATTTTTGAATTTGATGAACGGCGTGTGTAAATACTAAGACGCTAATAGGTCAAACTATTTTGTGGTCACTTGTGATATAATGATCATTCCCTTAAGGTCCCGTTTGGTTCAGGTCATATTTTATTCCTGGGAGTAATATTTTTTTCCTGGTATCTATACCCATGTTTGGATGAGTCGCATTTCCAAGTGCTGGTAAAGAATGAATACCAACAGTGGTATTTTTCCCCTCTTTTCCCGGGAATATCATTCCCTCACCTCTCTTAGGTATTTGCTTATTCCCTGTCTCCGTTGTCTAAACTACCCTTCTCCTCGCTTGCTTCTGGCTGAAAGAAAATCTGCTTCTTCTTCGTGTTCAACGTTAAGATTTTATTTTGTGCACTGTCGTTTGGTGTTTTTTTTGTTTACTAAGACCAAGTTTCTTCATTCATCAGGAACAAGGTCAGTGCTTTCAATTACCCATTTTATGATTTTGATTGATGTAGTTATTTTGGCTAATAAGAAAGAAAAAATCAATTTTTATGGCCCGAAAGGTTCGGGCTTTTCTGCTTTTCCTTCAACATCTCAATTTTCCATTCAGAAATGCAAGAAACAAGTTTCGACGAAAATCGTCTCGGTCATGGGCTCATGGCACCCCGGCAATCTGAGCGTGAACCAGCTACGACTGGCTCTGTTAGTTCATTTTTTATAAAATTTCACTTTTTATCTTCATTGATTGGTTAATGTGTTTGAGTTGATTTATGAAAAAAATTGGGTTCTTTTTTCCTCCGGTGAAGACTAGAATGACAGTGACAGAGAAGATTCTTGCAAGAGCCTCTGAGAAACCACAGTTGAACCCACAGTTGAACCCAGGTGATAATGTTTGGGTTAATGTTGATATTTTGATGACATGTGATGTTGGTGGTCCTGGTTCCATTGGTATATTCAAGAAAGAATTTGGTGAAAATGAAAAGGTGTTCTGTTCATCTGCTATCTTACTTGTTTTCTTTATTTTCTCTTAACTTAGTTTTGTGCATGATTGAGCTCTTGTTGATGGTTGTTCGAATATAATTAGCATTTTGGAATCGGAAATTGTGGTTTCATTAAGTAACAATAGCTACGTCACTGCTGTTAGTTCTTTGTGTGTCCTTTGCTGTGGTTGAGTTCATTATTATACCTTTACATATTCACCAGTGATGAACGTGTGAACCGTAATGTGGATATTTTGAGGGATTTCTGCACGGAGCAAAATATCAAGTATTTTTATGATGTAAAAGATCTTGGTAATTTTAAGGTATGCCACTCGTTATGTTTTCATTCGTTTCCAGTCTGATATTCTGAAGAACTAGGGGTATATTCTGTGTTCATTGACATAAAGCTGAATCCTAATTCACAACATTGCAGGCAAACCTTGATTATAAAGGAGTATGCCATGTTGCACTTGCCCAAGAGGGTCACTGCAGGCCTCCCCACCATAACTACTGAAATGCAAAACTTCAATTCATGTGTCAGACTTTGGAGCTGGTATTATCTTTTATCTCTGCCTTCAGGTTTTACTAGGGAGGGATTCTCACACCTGCACTGCCGGAGTATTCGGTCATTTTGCTACAGGAATTGGACATACAGATGTAGGCTTTGTATTAGGCACCGGGAAGCTTATGCTAAAGGCGTGTTAATTATTCTTTGATGTTTTACTTGATTAAAAAATGTGTGTGCGTTTGTTTTTGGTGCATTTTGATTTTTCATTTGGTTTCGTACTAGTATTTGTCTACTTTAGGTTCGTAGCGTAATAGCTTTATGCCCACCATAGAATTATAGATGTTCTTTTTCGAATGAGATTTTAAGGTGGTCCAACTCTGTTATCCAAATTCATTGAAGGATTTTCGACGAAATTTTAGCTATTTGATGAACAGTTTTGTCCTTCATATCCGTTGCTCTAGGCATATAGTTTAATCTGGTAGACCATCTTGGCATTTTCTTTTGCAAACGAATATTCATGACTTGTATGAGTTGAAGGCTGACACTTATAAAATTACGATTAATTTGGTGGTATATTCTGTTGCATATTCGATTGCGGGTTCCACCAACTTTGAGATTTGTAATGGATGGTGAAATGCCTCCTTATCATCTTGCAAAGGATTTGATTTTGCAGGTAAGATCGTATACTTGTAGGCAATTATTCCATTTTGATAAGCTTGAAATCTTAATTATGTTCCCATGGACATTCTTTAGTTATCCATTTCTATGAAATGTCCGAATTCCAAGTAGCATGGGTTCCGGCGAGGACGAATAGTAGTTTAAATATATGCAAGGTTTTTATCCTCCTTTGCATTCACAGCTCTTGATGGTTGTTATACATATATAAGCTGGTCGGCAATGAGGTCCTGCTCTTAATGCCAAACGTTCTGTTGTGGAAATATTCAGACATTTGAGATGGGTTCTCTTCAGAATTCATGCAAATCCTAACATTGCAATAGCCATCAATGTTCCAACCCTGAAGCAGATGTCATTAACACTTTTTTCGAAAAGCAATCTCATGACCGATAGTTTAGAATAATTCAAACATGGCCAAATTAGCAACCACTTAAAATTGTTTTAGAATTCTCTTTTGATACATGTAAGATATTTAACTTGTTCTTTGTGTATGATCTGAAAGAAATTAACGGTCTAGTATGTTCAAAGCTTGGCCTCTGTCAGTTTTTGTATGTTCAGAGAGAAATTACAGGTTGAGAAACATGAATTATTGAGTTGTTTGCTTTTCATAATCAGGAGTTAAGTACAAATCAGATTAGAATTGAGTATTAATAATTTTATTAAAATATTAACAAAGATAATGATGAATGACGGTAAAATATAAAATTATAGACAATATGATTTTTATTAGTGTTATATTTTCTTATTTGAATTATGTTTTTGTAATATGAATCGATAAATAATAATGATAAAGTATGCAGAATTAAGTATAAATATAAAAGATAAATAAATAAATTATTGTATATAGAAGATATAATAAATATTATATCTTAGATAACAAAAATAATTTACATCTTTTTATTATTATGAATATCTATGATAAATTATTGTATATAGAAGAATGTAAACTTTGTCAATTAAAAAATACAAGAAACCTCCCAGTGAATGCGTCACATATGAACTGAATTCCACAATGTAAACATTTAGTTAAATGTTAATGTAACATTTTAATATATTTTTACATAAATTATGTAAAATTTAATATTAATTAAAATTAAAATAATATATTATATATTTAAATACTCAAGTAATATATTATCAACAAATATAATTTTTATATAAATAATTTTTATTTAAATATTTAGAATTTCACTTGTTAAAAAATATACAATAAGGATAATTTGGTAAAATATACATTCCAGTAATCTTTTATTCCTTCAACCAAACACTGTAATCTTACATTCTTGCCAAACCAACCAAACACAGTAATATAACATTCCCAGTAATCCTATTCTCTAGTAATCTTTTATTTCCACTAGTAATCTTACATTCCGTGAACCAAACGCACCCTAAGAGTGCGTGCGTGTTTATTTCTGAGTTCGAAACACCGACTGACAACACAGCAGGAAAGTCTGGACAAAATACCATTAAAATCTGCACCTCGAAATTCATTCCACGATACGACAAAACCTCATTTTACTAATAATAACTCTATTTAATAAACTATAATGAATTCCACAGTGTAATCAAAAAGTTGTCTACAAGGATTGATCTTTGAAAAAGTCTTACACATGAACGAACGAACATACTTGTAATTAACTTTTATTTTAAAAATATTATTATGGGTTGATGATTTTTTTATTTAATCTGATATAATTATAAAATAATATAATTTTTTTACTTTTAACATTAAAGATTTACACCTCTGAGATAAACCGTTATACCACGCCTCGTTCGTTCCACGCTAGTCATAATCCGATTGCGGAGGATCAGTCAAGTAAAATTTTTGTTACGTTGAGGGCCGTCAAAATTCCAGGCAAGGTTCCAATGATGGTCTTCCCATCCCATTGATTCTGGTGTAGGATAAAATAAGCCGATTGAGTTGGGAGGATTGTTCTTAACTCTTAATATTTGATCCTGATTAGTCGATTAATATATCAAATATCGATGATTATAATAAAAATAAAATCTTATATTTTTAAAATCATAACCTTGAATAACAAATTCAATAAATCGATTCTAAGAAGAAAGGTAATTTAAGAGTTGATGATTTCTACGCAGCTTATTTTTAGTCTAATTATATAATTCATTATACTGTTAAAAAGCTTACAAATGAACATAAAAAAGAAGGAAAAATGGTGGACGCTAGTGTCCTGCTTTTACTGAAACGAACAAACCCACTAACATACGCCTCTCTCTTTAAAATCCCGCACCCAACGACCAAACTCTTCCTGATTAAGCTTCAACTTGTTCCCTTTTCTCTTGGCTCTTACCGTTTCTCTCTTTTCTGCAAATTCGTGGGGTTTTTTGCAGGAGCTGAAAGGAACTGAATAAAGAAAGAGATTGGCAGTGGAACAGTTAAAGAGTCCACTAACGGAAAGTAAAAGTCCCAGAGAAAGAAAGAAGAATGCGCAAAGTTATGCCATTTTTACCTGAAACAACCATATAGTTCCTTTGCAGTAAAAAGAAATGGCATAGAAATTGTTCGTGCCTGCTCTTGATCATGTGCTATGCATGCCAGTTATTATGATGGGTCTCCAGTCTTGTCCTTGTTGAGCCAGTCGATCCAACAATCTGAGGGGAAAAAAAGACAAAAGAAAATAGGGAAACCCAGTTTTTTTTCTGTTTCTTTTTCAATGTTCAGTCATGGAGGCTACAGAGATTTAGAAAGCATTTCAATTTCCCAGATTATGCGTTTCTGCATCTTGAAATAATTTTTAACATAAAAACTTTCATTTTTTTCTTCAGTTCATGTTTGTTTTTCATGTTAGGAATTTAGGGGGTCTGATTCTGATTATATAAGCTTAGTTATGCTGAGGAATAGGTCGAGAGCAGTGACCAGCAAGCAAGCTTTAATGGCTGATCACAGCTCTCAAGCATCCCCTGTCCAGAATTGCACTAACCCAATTCCATCTTTCTTCGATTCTTCCAGATTCAAAGCTTTCACCTCAAAATCCCTCCCTGAAACCGAAGCTATCAAGAGCCCTACTTCAATCCTCGACAACAAACCCTTCTTTCCCTTCTGTAATCCCTTTGCCTTAACCCGTCCAAAATCGCCGAAAGTTTTCTCACTTGGAAATCCTGAACCAAAAGGTATCGGTCTTGCTATACTCGACACATTCATCAACGATAACCGAAGTGAAGACAACAGTTCCTGCGAGCCAAACAAAAGAAAGGTCTTGTTTGGGACAGAACCCAGAGTCCAGATTCCTCCACTCGCACCTACTGATTTTGGAATCAAGACCAGGAATTCATATTTATCTCCAACATTCGGGTCCCCTGGTTCTGGTATCCAAACGAAGGATCTTCCCGTTACTGAAATGGAGCTGTCCGAGGATTATACATGTGTGATATTTCACGGTCCTAATCCCAGAACCACACACATATTCGATAACTGCGTTGTGGAAAGCTACTATACTGTACCTGATAATGAACCCAAGCCTGCAACCGGGAGTTTCCTTACCTTTTGTCACACATGCAAGAAGAGTCTTGAACAGAAAGTTGACATTTACATTTACAGGTGAAAACCCATTAACACACGATTACACTAGGTTTTAATGCATATTCTGATCAGTTTTTAATGTTTTTTTGTGTTTGCAATGCAGAGGTGAGAAAGCTTTTTGCAGTCCAGAGTGCCGATATCAAGAAATGCTCCTGGATGGAGGCGAGAATTAAGAATTTTCATCACTTGTTCTTATTTTGTTCATCTTTTTCCCTCTCCCCTGCAGATATGAGATAAGAGAGGATGAGATTAATTTTTGTTTGAGTAAATTATTTAAAGATTGGCTTCATTCAATACGTAACTGATGCATGATTGAGAACTAAACTAGCCTTTATCTTTCTTTATTCCTCTAATTACTTCACTCATACAGCTGTCTTCCTTATCACTTTCTCAGGCGATTATACCGTATACCCAACTATGGTTAATCTTGGTTCAGAATATATAAACAACCCTTAATCATATCTTAATTACGGGTTTAATTTTGATGAAATAGATCTAAACTCGTCTCTTTCTAGATCAATGCGTAGAGGAGTGAAACAATTAAATAATAAGTAGTTGAGAAGTTTGATACTTTGATAAGTTCAAATTTGTGAACGTGAATTGATTATCATGGCCAGGTCACCCCCCCCCCCCAAAAAAAAAGGATATATTTAAATGATGAAGAGGCATGACAATTATGGACTGTGGTCCAAAACTCATTCAACCTTTTGTCCAATTGATGATCGGATAAAGGATGTAATTCATAATGTATAAAATTATTTGAACTGAGATGAAAAATACTTTTCAATAATAAAAATTAAAATTTGTCAACGGGGAATTGTAACGCCTTAATCTACTACGATCCGAAGATCGAAGGATTAATATGCTACACGAGACCATTGAAGTGGTTAACTTGAAAATTTTCTTTTTAAAACAATTATTAAAACCAATTTTTAAACATCCATCATAAACATAAAATAAAACAATAGTGTTTAAGTTTACAAATCGGGAGTCTCAAAATACATCCAATCTGATTTAAAAGAATATTTCAAAATACAGTTACGACTCGAATACAAAGGGTCCATACACAGTGCATGCCCTTTACAATATACTCAAGACATACTCAAAAAATGTTGATGGTCTAAAAAGCGAATTGCGCGATAACCTCCACGAAAAGCTCCTCCTAAGAACTAGGGCATAAAAACAAATTTTAAACACAAAGCTCACAAACTCAGTGTCACACTAATAACCAAACTATACTACATGCATTTATCTACATACACATGCTAATAAATGTAAATCTTAGCATACTAAGATGCTAAGTTGAGCATACATACCAAGGTAGGCATCATGGTGCGGTCGCAGGGTTTCACTACATCTCAGAGACACATACCCCTCTAGCCTACATAGGGTGAGATCCAGAATTTCAACATCGAAAATATTCACTCGGCCAACCAACTCCTTGCGAGTACTTGGGGCATCTACGTCCGGTCAACATTTAAGTGCCTTGCACAGTAAATGGGACATATACGTACATTCTAACATACAAACGATCATCTTATAACTAGAGTGCCTCGGGTGTCTTGATTATTTTCCGAGCATCATACAAGGCTAGTTTTATGAGTTCCAAATTGAATTACATTTCTAGATGTAATTATAGTCATAATAATGTTATCTCTTGGAGTCTTATTTATGGAGCTTGAATGGCCTTGAATTCCCGAACTATCATACTTTAGATGAGAATGATTTCTTACCCTACTCAAGACTAGGGTATCGGTATTGGCCTTATAGTATATGTACTGATCTCTAAGGTATCGATACCAATTTATGGGTATCGATACCAAAAATAACTTTGATGTTTGAATAAAATAACTAAGTATTGATACCCTTATTTAGGGTATTGGTATCCTCACCATAGTATCGATACTCCATTGAATATCGGTACCAAAATAGACTATTGAAATCCTAAATCTAAAAACAATATCAATATTACCATGTGAGTATCAAAACCTGACCTGCAGTATTGATACTTTGTGGATGAGTATCGATACTTATCCTTCCAAAACTCCCTTATATCAAGCTAGCCGATGAACAATATTGATATTGTTTTTTAGTACCGATACTCGAACCCAAAAATGCCCTGTTTTGGGCACAATAATGCAATCTAACTTTACCTATGTGCCCCCTTAAGGCTATTAGTTGATGTTTGAATCTTATGTAAGTATATAGAAGTTCTAAGGAGTCATTTTTCATGCTTAAAAACACTTCCAACTAGAATCTACCATGAACATGATCAATATTTCATAAACTCATGCTAGCTAATCTTAATGACCCACAAATGGTATAGGGAGGTTATAAATGTGTTGCCTTGGAGTTGAGCTTTGAATAACGTCTCCAAATCGACCAAGGACTAGCTTATCTTTTCCTTTGGTTTTGAAACCTTTTCCAACTTCTCTTACTAATATAAAATGGAAAATGAGTTACTAACTTATTTATGAGACTAAAATGCACACTTTCTTAAACTCAAATCCACTAAAACAAGTTACAAATCACTAGTTTCCTAAACCCACATCTATGACCATTGTTATCAAGATTTGAGATTGAGGGCTTAAATGAAAGCTTGAGGTGAGGAGATCATAATTCTTACCTTGAAAATTTTGTAATAAGGTTGAAAGGCTATCAAGTTTCCACCTTTGTATTTGTTTGGAGAAAGAAAATTATGAAAATGGGGAGGAAGGAGGCAGAGTGTTGAAAATTGGGGGAAAAAGGGAGTGGATAAGCATAATACATCATCCCATTTAAAATCAAATTATCTTTTAAATCATAAGAGGGTGTAATTGCCCTTTTAATCCTTTCAACTATCCCAATTAATAAAATATCTTTTTATTTTTTGCTACTAATTAGATCTAACCTAAGTTTCAAACCCATCTTAAATTGGTCCAAACTTTCTATATGTCTAATGAATTTGCCTAAATAAATATCGGATTAGGCTAAACTTATTAACTTGAGATTTAGAGCGTTACATGAGTATAGTGTAGAAGCCTCGCCCAGAAAACTAGCCATACAACACAACTTCAAATCTTCAATAACGGAGCGAACCAAAATGTACCTCTTTGGAATCCGATGGAAACCAATATGTACCACCCAATGTAATTGATAATATATACGATTAATATATTACTTATATATCTTAGGTAGTGAATTATAATACTTTTATTTTGTTTAATAAATAAAATAAGATTATAACTAATTTAAAATTTACAGTTTAGATTTTTTGATTAATTACAGTTTAGAGTTTAATTCAACTCAAAAGGGTTAAAATATAATTCAACTCAAAGGGTTAAAATATTATTTAACTTTTAAAATAATACTAATAATAAAGGTAAATCAACTTTTCTCCTTAGGTTTGGTGAAAATTTCACTTACCCCTATTTAACCCATGAGATTTTTAATGAATAATTTATCCTTGACCAATTTTTATTATTATTTTATTTACTTTTATTATCTTTAATACTTTTATTCAACAATATTTATAAAAAAAGCATAGTTAATTATAAAATAATTCTAATTATTAATAAAAATATTATAATTATATGTTAAACATATATCCAACCACTAAATTAAGATCATTGCTCGATCTAAAGTAGATGACATAAAGTATTAATATATTTTTAGTATACATATTTTTAGCTTATTACAATGTATTAATATTGTATCTTCAATTTTTTTGTATTATTTGCTTTTCAATTCAAATGCTTATAACTTAATGAAGTTTAAATTGTGGATCACTCTAGTGATTCCAAACTTAAATTTTAGGGTTAATTACATGATGATCACTTATATTTGTGTTTTATCTACTTTTGGCTATTGATTTAAAAAAAAATATAAGATATGGTCACTTTCGTTTTTATTTAATTAAGATGTGACCACCTCGAGTTAACTGACATTAACAACAGTTAAATATTTTGATATAATCACACATTTGGTCATTGTTATTTATATATTCTCTTAATTTAGTCATACTTTTAATAAATTAAAATAAATTTAATCCTCCGATCGAATGATGACACGTGTCACCATTCGGTTTGAGGAAACTTTATTTTAATTTAATATATTTATTTCCACCAATCAAAGAGTGACATGTGTCACCCTTTGGTTGAAAGAAAACAAAGGAAAGTCGGGGCAAAAAAGATTTAAACTTTGGTTACTTAAGAAACTAAACATGTGTCCAGCCATTAAGCCAAGACCATTGCTTAGTCTAAAGTAGACAACATGATGTATATATTTTGTATCTTAGTGTATAAATACTTAAATTCATAATATTTTATATATATTAACTTTTTTATATTAGCTTATTAAATATATTTTATTATTAATTTAATTTAAAAATATTTTTTTATTTTCATTTAAAAATATATATTTTATGTTAAAATTTATTTAAAAGTATGATTAAATTGAAAGAATATGTAAATAAAAGGGATCAAATGAGCGATTCACATATTATGTTAATTGTTAACAATAGTTAACTCTTGATGATCACATCTTAATTAAATAAAAATGAAGGTGAACATATCTTAATTAAATAAAAATGAAAGTGACTATATCTTATGTTTTTTAAAATCAGTGACCAAAACTAGACAAAGTACAAACATAAGTGATCATCCTTGCAGTAACCCTAAATTTTTATTATATTGCTTGCAATAATAATGCAAATTAAAATTCGTAAAGTAATATGAAGTGTCTACTTTATATGATATTTATTGGTATGATTATATAAATCAATCTATGTTTATAAATTTGTCTCGTAATTAGTAGGAATGACAACGGGTCGGGTTCAGGGCGGGTTTTGCTCGCCCCGTCCCCGAACTCAAAATGAATCCCCGTCTCCGACCCCGACCCGATCCCCAACGGATTTTTTATCGGGCGCCCCATCGGGGATTTTTTTTGCCCCGTCCCCGAACCCGACCCGAAATATTATACCCGAACCCAAAAATATTTTATATATAATTAATATAAAAAATATAAAATATTATATATATATATAATTAATATAAAAAATATAAAAAATTATATATATATATATATAATCGAGACGGGTCGGGGCGGGAATACCTTGCCCCGAACCCGAACCCGACCCAAACAAATCCCCGAAAAATATCCCTGAACCCAAACGTGACCCGATATCATTCAACTCGGGTTCGGGTTATATTGTCATCCCCAGTAATTAGAATATTATTATAACTGAAGACAATAAAATTTGGGAGGATCTAAAGAATATTTAAATCAAAGTAATACATTCCAAGCCTAGGCGTATTGGGCCAATATTGATCCAAATACTGACCCCACAAAGCGTCCCAATTTGCTGTCCACTAGCCTTTGAGAGAAATTGATTTGTTTTTTGTCGACTCCCTAGAACTTTGCAGTTGTTCGGCTCGGATCCAGACAAGTGTAGAACAAATGACCGACCAGGTTCAACTTCAACTTAAAACCCAATACTTATCCATTGCCATATGTCGCTGTTGCTCGTATTTGGAGGCTAAATATAATGCTCGAAACTCCACCACCTATGCTCCAAATGTCCCTTTACCCAGCTGAAACGTGCAAACTTGGTTACATCTAGAATACGCATTTATATGCCCTCTAATGCTTCTCCTGAACCCTCCAAGCCTTTGAAAAATGAGTAAGCGACAACCGAGAAGACCCCAGGCTTCTAACCAGGAAGGCATCAACTTCGGCGATGTCTTCGATGCCATCGGTGCTGCGCCTTCAACCCTTTCCCCATCTCCATCTCCAACTCCAACTGTGCGACCGGCACCTACAACGGGTGCGGTTGATTCGAGTGGCATCTCCGTTGGAGAAGCTTTGGAAGCAGCCGCTATCTCTGTCGGCGACAAACCGGTTGACCGCGGCGATGTAGCAGCAATACGAGCAGCTGAGTTGAGAGCCGCGGGTAGTCACGCAGCCGGCCTTGGGGCCAAAGCTCAAGCCGCTGTCAATTTTAATGACCGTGTGGCTTATGATTACAATAAGATCACTATATCTGATGTTTTGTCGGTAATAAATCATTTAATCGATTAGATTGAAGACAAATTAACTAGTTATTTCCCAGTTAATACGTCATTTTTGTGTTGGGACAGGATGCTACTGCAAAGCTGCCTCGAGATAAAGCAGTGACAAGGGAAGATGCTGATGGCGTGAGAGGTGCGGAGGTGATTAACAAACCCGAGTCAATGCCCACGCCTGGAGGAGTGGCGGATATCTTGGCCACAGCTGCTAGGGTCAACCGGGATGATAAGCTATGAAGGGTTTTTTTTTAGCAAAATGTTTTGGTTTTATATATTATGTATGATGGATGATCCGTGGTGTAGATACATATTAACCATTTTACAAATAAAAAAATTGTCAATTAATAAATTTGCTGCAGCAATTTTGTAAATAGACGAAGTTGTAACGAAAGGAAACCTCAATTAGATTGGGAGTAGTAACATAAATCGCAATTCCATGTATTGTTCAATAATATACCCGAAATCTCTCAGCCGAGGTACTGAAAATCCGTCGCCAAATTGTTCAAGGCAATACTATAAAAATAAAACTTAATATAAAAATAAGTATGAAAGTTACATTATTTTTATCAGGTGTTTAAATTATTTTTTAATTAATTTAGATATATAATATTATAAATGTTACTATTTTCCCATCTAATCTAAAAATAAACAAACATATACACAATCGTCCATTTTTGAAGTAGGATGCTAGGTACTTCAAGTTCATCTTACTATGCAAAGATCCTTCCTTTGCATTTTTATCCTTTCAGCTTCCCCTTAGGCATTTTAATTTAATATTTAGTATTGATAAAGGATCGTTCACACTCCAAAGATATAGAAGAATGGGTTACCTTGATTATTTCCTCGTCTAGAATGAACAATAAGTGTTATTCCGTTTTAAAAGTTTGGGTTATTTCTAAAGTTAGAATGATAATAATGATAAAAAAAAATAAACAAAATAGATCGAATAGGATAAGAATAAGAAGATAGAATTATAAAAGTTGGCTGCGAAAGATGATGATGTAACACTTATTTTCTATATACGACCTCGTACACAAATCATATATGTCACATCAAATAATCAAAACATTTATTAACTTAAAATAAGTAAAATCTTATTTATTTCAACAATTCTATATTTGTAACCATTTATATTATAAAATAAATAATTAGAGGAATTCAAAATATAATATTTCAATTTCTAATTCAAGTCCGATCTCATGTAGTAACAAGCAGTTATGCTTTGTTCATATAATAAATAAAATTGTCTGGTTTAAAAGTCTAATTTAATTAATAATTAAAATATAATTTAATATAGTAATATTTATTTAAACTATAAATTTATTTAATACTAACTATAATAAATATTTGTAGATATTTCATTCTCGTATACATGCCAACTAGAAACTTTAGAACATCCTATGTTGTTCATTACTGTTACCTAAAATATTCCTTGATGATTGATGCCAAACTCAGCTCCTTACACTTTTTTCTTCATTTTACTTACGCGTGAAAATCATCACACGCTAAGTATACACTTAGTGAGGCAATCAATAGAAATATATTCAAGGCAATGCAACACATAAATGTAAACAATAATATTCAATGCATTATGATCATTTTTACCTGTATTTTTCAATCATGCTACTAATATGAACATGATTTGAATCACATATAAATTTCTTACTTGTCATGTGTTCCATAAGCTCATAAGCTTAGTCACCTGTTTATTATTTATTAACCAATAAACCGTAGCCCAAACGTAAACCTGCGAAGACCCTGGATATTCGAGTCAAAGATGCACCAAAGTGCTTCATATACATTGAGTGTCCTTACACACTACAGTGTTGTACTAAGTTTCCTTACACACTACAGTGTTGTACTAAGTGTACTTACACACTATAATATTGTACTAAGTGTCCTTACGCACCATAGTACCATATGCACTAAGTGTCCTTACACACTATAGTGTTAATCCGATTATACAACTGCTAGACTCTATGACATGCCAATTATATCATGTCTTTCAATGACTTACTTGGACATACAGTCTATTTTATTTGATCCATCCATGGTAAAGTATATTATCATAATTTAACATTGGGCAATTCTTACCCGAAATATGATTCATGATAAATATCATATATGTTCATGATACACATCATATATGTTCATGATACACATCATATGTAACGATTAGTGATCAATTCATTTTATGTTCAACCTTTTACATATTTAGAATATGTCAAATATATGATGAATGACATAAATATCTTCCTAACATAAATAAGGTAGACTCATCGCAAGTTCTACCCAATGATATATAGAACATCCATGCATAATGTTATGCATGCATTGAACTCATTTTGACATTATATACAAGTCAAAATATAAGTATCACTAAGCTTTAACTTGATCCTTTGTTTTTAGTTTGGTTAAATCCCAAAATTTGTCATAATTTCATATCATGGCAGTTTGCACTACCTTTAAAGAAATATTATTATGTATTAATATACATACTAAAAAAATATTCCGTTTATACTACTAGAAATTATACTCGAATAATAATCTAACCATATAAGGCACTCATTTTATTTCAATGTTTGCAATTTATAATGAATTTTCAAAGTTGACTAACAGAATATGTTTTCAGTAGAATCTGCTGCCTCGTTTTTTGACCTATCCTCGGTTAAAAATACATATATTTCTGTATATACCTAGAAATTAGTTACCGTTTGTTCTAAACAAAACTATACTGATATAAGAATCTAAATGTATAAAAATCATCCTCTAATCATTTTTTTAAATTTATGGTGATTTTCTAAACTTACTGTCCACAACTAAATTTCTAAGCATACTTCACCAATTTGCATTTTCATCTTGTCACTAATTCTATTAGCTCACAAAATGCACATATATGCATGCATCACAAATCACATAAAATTTTAGGAGACACTCCTTACCATAGTAACTTCGTTACTGGCTCATTGCAAGCCAATGTTTATTCGATAACATAAGTACAAATTAAATTTGTACTCACCTGGTGTCCTTAGCTTGCAAACTTCTCTTAGGATTTCACATTACATCCTTAAGTTTTTCCTTAGATTTAATATTTTTTTATCTTGATTTCAAGCACACAATCTAAATGAGCATTATTACAAACATATTCAAATTCAAACCATATGTTAAAATCTTTTTTTTTGGATAAGTTAAAATTTATTATCCAAAGAAGTAATGTTCTGCTACAACAAACATCCCAATTAGGAGTATAAACAACTTACTTACAACAAAAAATAGTTAATCTATACCCCAATAGTTACATAGGTTAATATTAACATTATCTATTCTATTTAAATTTCTTCCTCTGAGTTGAATTCGAAAAAGCTCCTTGATGGACTTCAAAATCTGATCAACAGTTCTAGACCCTCCTTGAAAAATTCTTCAATTTCTTTCCTCTCAAATCGAGTAGATGAAAGCACTCCAAGCTATCTTCAAGATGGTTGAAAGAAGAGATTTGCCCTTCCAATCTTCACAAGCCCATTCGTCATTGCTTCCTAAGACATGTGGGGTTTGCGCAAGTGAGAAATATTCAAGATAGATTTCCACAGAGAATTTGAGAAGTTACAATCAGCAAATAGACGATTCCTTGTTCTGAGAGCCTCGTTGCATAAGACACATAATCGCTCAGAGACTATTCTCATCCGAGAAAACTTCTCCCGAGTTGGGATTCTGTCCAGAATAGCCATCCAAGATATCATACTAAACTTAGGAATATATAGAGGGAATCAGATCACCTTGTGCCAAGGAACCTTGTTTCTTTGGACTCTAATTTCTTCCCATATATCTTTAGTCTTCGTAGTTCCTACGTTAAGTATGGGGAGGGCTTCAGTCCTTAGCTTCATTAGTTTTCTGATGCACCAGCTGTAAGCAAGACATTCATTCATGTCTATGAAGTCATTGCTCTTAATCACATAACTGTTAATCCAAGCAACCCATAGAGATCCATCTCCGACAAGTATATTACGATTAAGTTGAATCATACATGCTTTGTTCCAAGATTTAATGTCCTTTAAACCAAGACCTCTTTCTAATTTGGGACAACAAATTCTTTCCCAGCTGATTCTTGCATCAGATGCTGCTTTATCTGATCCTTTCCATAAAAAATGAGAGAAGAGTTGGTCTATTCGGTTGATAACAATCCAAGGAAGAATAAATTGTATGCACCAGTAATTAGCAACACTGAATAAGATAGTTTTGACAAGTTCAAATCTCCCAGCATAGCTTAAAAGTTTACCAGACCAATCATGAAGCCTTAATTTGATTTTATCAATAAGAGGCAGACAATCCTGTTCAGTAAGCTTTCTAGTGACTAAAGGTACCCCTAGGTACCTTACAGGTAAGAAACCATGCTTGAAACCAGTAGTAAATTTGATAGTCTCAAGATTTCTAGGAGAAATTCCAGCAGCAAACAATTCAGTCTTTCTAACATTAAGTTTAAGACCAGACAAGTCATAGAAGTGGTTAAGGACACTTATGACTCCAACAATCAATTCAAGATTTCCTTTGCAAAAAATTAAAAGATCATCTGCAAATGATAGGTGTGTGAGACCAATCTTTTTACATTTCCTAAAAATAATTTCCTAAAAATTCTTTCGATGTTTATTCGATACTAATTCCATGTAACAACATAATTGTTAACCATAACACTTTAAAATTGACCATTCAAGTCCCTTTTTATCCAAATTTCACATAAAATTTTCACTTAAGCTCCCAACTTTTCCATATTTGTGATTTAAGCCTCAACTTTTACCAACTTCCCAAAATGACCCAATTTCACATTCTAACATCAATTTCAACACTCAAACAATAATTTACAACATATTACCTCAACTATTTAACCATTAAACAACAACCCTAAACTTTTCCATAATTACAAATTAGGTCCCCAACTTTCATAAAATTAAAAAATAGTCCCTAAATTTTTCTAAGGCTTGTAGAATACTTCCTATACCATTTCCAGTCCCTATAAAAAATTTTCCATAATTTTTTCTCATCCTCTATAGTCATGTTGAATGCTTTGTATGTTCAAGATTAGGGTTTTCATAGTTTTACTCGATTTTGATCCGATTCGAGTATGAATTCAACCTCTATTCAACCTTATAACTCTAAAATTAAAGCCCTAACTTAACTTCATAAAATCATTATCTTTCCCTAAATATAGGGTTAGGCCGAAATCAAAATAAGCATGTATAGACATGTATATGTGATTTTA